CCTGCTCCTGCTGCCACACTGTTCCTGAGCCAGGCCAGGATCCATTGACCCTCTTGGCCACCTGGGCACCCCGGCTCATGTTCAGCCTCCTGTCAATAGGTAAAAGTCTTGCTCGTTTTACCACAAAAAGTGGGATTTTGTTGGGATTTTTATCCTCCCTTTGGTGAATCTCTCTAGGAAGTTTTCCTGGAGCTCCTCTGCCACCCTGATACAGCTTTGGCAGAGTGTCCCCACCGTTACTGACACCAGCAGATGTGACTGACTGGCCTGGCCTGAGCCAGAAATACCCTCCAATAACCGAGAGTCATCAGAGACCAGCTCTAATTACACCCTTCGGCCTCTCTCTACCCAGAGCACATTAGCACATGTAATTGGCTCACCAATGTAATTTTAAGCTTCCTTTGGCCATGGATTAATGGTAATTAGCCTTTAAATGAAGCTATTTCTCCTTTAGAGGCTTTACCCACAGGTCTGCAGAGTGGTGAAAGGAGGTCTGCAGACTGTTTTAGGGACAAGGGAACAGAGTCACAGAGTCATTAAGGTTGGAAAAGCCCTCCAAGATCATCGAGTCCAAACATTCAGCATGGCCAAACCCACCACCAAACCACGTCCTCGAGTGCCACATCCATGTGTTTTGAACACTTCCAGGGACGGTGATTCCACCACTTCCCTGGGCAGCCTGTTCCAAAGATCCAGAAGATCCCCTTTGCTGCACCAGGTCTCTCAGCCTGGGCTGAAGCCACGTGCCTTTGGGTGCCCAGCATGGGCCAACAGCCCCTCAGCCCAGTGGGATTTCTCCAGAGATGGCACATGGCTGGGGGAGGTCTGGTGGGCAAAGGTCCAGGGGGCAAGTCCTAAAAATCCCTTCAACTGTTTCCAACAGGGAAGAGCCATCACTGCCAGGGCGATGTGACAGGCCCAGGGATGCTGGATGCAGGGATGAGCTCCTGCCCTCACCCCCCTGCCCACGCAGCAGGGATTGTTTAGTTGCCCGGGTGAGGCTGCACCCAGTCCCTCCTCCGCACCTCGCAGGAATTTCACAAGGGAACACAGCTGCTGGAAAACACCCTGTACTGCCTCTGCTCATGTGCATTTAGTGGCTGAATCCACTGCAGTTTTGGGGTTATCCTGGGAAAAACCAGCGGTGCCTGCACAGAGCAGGGTCAGGCTGCATCCCGACCTGCTGCTCCGGTCCGACCGGGACACCTGGTCCTGCCCATCGGGACAAACCTGCCTCCCTGCAGCACCCGACCCCTGCTAAGCAGCACATCATCCCAGCCAGGAATGCTGCAGCACCCTGCTGGGGTCTGGGGAGGGGTCCCCAAACTGGGATTCCCCCGGGGGATGGTGTCAGCCACCCTCTGGGCCTCGCAGGGATGCTGCTGCCAGGAAATCGGGGGGATTCGGGAGCCTTAAACACCAAATAGAATCACTAAATAGTTTGGGTTGGAAGGGACTTTAAAGCTCATCCTCATCCAGGACTTTAAGGTCATGGGCAGGGACACCTTCCACTAGCCCAGGTTGCTCCAAGCCCCGTCCAACCTGGCCTTGGACACTTCCAGGGATGGGGCACCTAAAACCCACGTCCGAGCTGGGAGCACAAAACAAACCTGCTGCAGGGGGGGCAGTTCAAGGCCTGAGCTGTGCCTTGAGCTCCTGCTGCAAGAGCCTGGTGGTGCTGCCAGCACAGCCCTTCCCCGGGCAGCGGGAGAGCGGGACACGGGGGAGAGGGACACGGGGGAGAGGGACACGGGGGAGGGACGCAGGGCAGCGGGACACGGGGGAGAGGGACACGGGAGAGAGGGACGCGGGGGAGAGGGACGCGGGAGTGGGACATGGGGGAGCGGGACATGGAGGAGCGGGACACGGGGGAGTGCGACACGGGGGAGCCTTCGTGTGGGGATGTGGTGGCACAGGGGTGCGAGGAGCAGACAGACAGACGGACCGACAGACTGACCGACATTCCCCCGCTGTGCGCAGGCTGGTGCAGGGGCCGAGAGGTGACCGGGGCGAGGGGGGGACCGAGGCAGGCGGCGATACCCGGGGGGGACAGTGGCGATGCCTCAGCCCGCAGGAAGGTTCCAGGGGGATTTAAGGTGCCCGCAGCGGGATTCACAAGGTCTCAGGGGGGGATTTACAGGCGGATTCGCGGCACCATCCGCGCCCGGGGCGCGCACCCGCGGGCCCCCCGGGCCCCCTGCCCGGGCTCACCTGCATGGTGGCGGTCGGGCCCCGGCCCGTGCCGTGCCAGCCGGGGCTGTCGCTGTCTCGGGGCTGTCTCGGGGCTGTCTCGGGCTGTCGCTGTCGCGGGCGTGACGCGCGCGCGGGGCTCCCCGGGAGCTGTAGTGCCGCGGGAGCGCGCACGGGGCGGGGCGGGGCTGGTCCCTCCCGCATCCCAGCGGGGCTCAGCATCCCCCGGGAAAGCGGGTCCTCCGCGCTCCCCTTTGGCTTCCCCTTTCCTGCTGGCTCCGTTCCCGGCTCCCGATCCCAGCGCCCACGGGTTTTTTCTGCTGGTTCCCCTTCCTCCTCCGCCCCGTCCTGCTGCCGCCCCGGGTTTGGACTCTGGCGAAGCGCAGAAAGGGATTTTGGGGCGGTTCACTCTCCCGGAGAGGAGAATTTTCCAGGGAAACCTCAAAGTTTGTAGTGCCTAAAGAGGCTCCAGGAGAGCTGGAGAGGGACTTGAGACAAGGGCGTGGAGGGACAGGACAAGGGGGAATGGCTTCCCACTGCCAGAGGGCAGGGATAGATGGGATACTGGGAAGGAATTCCTCCCTGGGAGGGTGGGGAGGCCCTGGCACAGGTTGCTCAGAGAAGCTGTGTCTGCCCATCCTTGGGAGTGTCCAAGGCCAGGTTGGACGGGGCTTGGAGCAACCTGGGCTAGTGGAAGGTGTCCCTGCCCATGGCAGGGGGTGGAACGAGAAGGTCTTTAAAGTCCTTTCCAGCCCAAACCACTCTGGGTTTCTATGGGATTTCCCCCCCCCAGAGATAAGCAGGAAAGACCAAAGGGAAGACCAAACTTTCCCTCCAGCTGTGGCTTTATGGAGGGAACAGTGAGTGCTGAGCTGCCCCTGCCTCAGTTTCCCCAAGTGCCAGCAAGTGCTGATGCCCACAAAGGTACCCAGTGCCTGCCAGGGGATTTGTGAATCTATCCCAGTTTGGGAAGGAAATACGAGGTTACAGGCAAAGCACTGCTTTGGGTAGTGAGTGAATTTTTCCTTACAGGTGGAACCGGAGTTATTCAGGGTGTGTTTGCTGCTTGAAGTAAGAAAAAATACTGGATAAACCTACAAACATGCTACTTCTCTTTAAAATATTTCAAAAGTTTCCATGGAAAATAAACACATTCTTTGGCAGCCACAGCTCCTGTGGGTTGTGGCCTGCATGGCTGGTGAGGTGGGGAGTGTGCATGTGCGAAAACACAGGGAAAAATGCTGCAAAAATGAGCAATTTGTGGAAAAAATATATTAATTTAAAAAAAAAAGTTGTGTTTTTTGTCGTGTTCTGCTGGTTGCCATTCTCTCCCCAGGACCTAATGGGTCCCTGGAGTTGGAATTGAATTTTCCTTTTGCAATCTGCTGCACAGGGTCTGTCTGCAGCATCCAGAGAAGTGCCAGCCCCTTGGCACTGCCTGACCTCTGCCCACACCACAGGCAGTGCCCACCCCCCGGGCACAACCAGCTCCTCTTCCCCTTCCAGCTCCCTGTGGAAAGGGAGTCTCTCCATGGCAGGGAGAGGGTTTTTGGCTGCACCTCTGACTCTGTGTGCCCATGGCTGGCTGCAGGCGAGGGGGCAGTGCCAGGGGGTTCTTTCAGGGGTGGGAGCAGCTCCAGGGGGGGAGCAAAGCCCCACGGGCAGGGCCAGAGGGGCTTTACAGGGCAGTGCCCCACACGACACCCAGCACGTTAGAAATCCACCCAGGGAGCAGAAATTCAATGCCAGAGTGGAAAATCCCTTTTCAAGGTGCTCAGACCCTGCCTAGAGGCAGCTGGAAGTGGCCACCCCATATCTCCCTGGGAGGTAGTAAAGAGCAGCACAGCCACACACACGAGTTGGCATTGCTTAAATCACTCCCGAGGGACTGTGCCCCCCTGAAAGCTCCCTTTGCTGCTCTCCTTGAGCCCCAGTGCAGGGTCTGGCCCGGCTGCCACACTGCTCTGCTGGCACTGGCAGCAATGCCCAAGCTCACCTGGGCAGCCTGGGCACAGGTGAGTCAGGGAATCAGAGCCTGGGCACTGATGGGTGCTGAGAAAACCAGGGGTGAAGCACAAAGCCAGCTGAGGCCTGGGGGGTTTGGGGGCTGTGCACCCCAGAAATGGGGGTGCTGGGAATCCAACCACGGCTCAGGTGCCACTTGCAGAACCCTCTGTCCTCAGGGCTCGGCCTGGGCCACACAGCCCAGGGAGAGTGGGATTGTTAGAGGGAAACGGTGCTGGGAATAACAAAAACAAGGTGATAAGAAGAAATGCTGCAGCACTGGGGGCAAAGGGCTGCAATTCCTGCTCCAGAGACATTGCTGTGCAGCTCAGTGTTGCTCTACACCACTAAAACCCCCCTCTGACCCTCCCTGGGAGCTGCAGACCCAAAACAGAGGCAAGATTTGGGGGGATGTGCATTTTTCACCCCTTTGCAGCCCCTGCTGTCTGGCTGGGCTGGAGCTGCTGGAGCAGCCACTGGCAGCACCACATGGACCTGGCTGGGCTCTCCCAGGCTGACTGGGCTTCTCAGGCAGGTCCTGGGGAAATGAGGCTCCAAGTGTTTGTGCACTTGACCCTGGCAAAGAAAATTCCCTTTCCTGCCCCTCCTCCCAAGCTGGCTGTAGGTTTGCTCCTTGTCTTTCTTTTTTCTTTAGCAGACAGTTCCCACTGCTTATAATTATACAAACCTCCCCCAAGCAGTCATTAAATCAGCACCTTCTCATATATAATATATACATATATAATATATATATAATTTATAGAGAAACGACTTCTGTAAACAATATTCTTCTACTCCAGAAGGAAGTGTAGTCCGTGGCATAATGCAGCTACAAACACGGATCTCGGAGAGAACCTGCAGCTCCGGGGAGGGGGCGGGAGCCCCGTGCCACCCCCAGCCCCCACAGGATGGCTCTTGGGCGGGGAGGGAACCGGCTGGCTCGGTCTGGGTGGCACCAGTTTCAGCTGAAGCAAACTGGTCCGACTGTGAAACCAAACTGGTGCGAGGCGTCGCCGTTGTGAAACACCGCCAGGTCCCGCAGGGGCAGCAGCGACAGCTCCTCCGTGCTGAACTGGAAGATGGTGTCGGTGATGGAGGACTCGTTGTCCAGCTGAAAGGAGCACAGAGGGGCACCTGAGCGGCACAAAAATCCTCAAGGATCCCCTCAGAGCGCCTGCTGTCCCCTTGCTGGCTCCCGCTGGATGCAAAGTCCCCATCCCCAGCCCCTCCTGGCTTTTCCAGGGAGTGACCTTCCCGTGTCCACCTCACCCCCTGCCACATCCCAGCCCGCTCCCAAAAGCCGCGGCAGCTCCTTGGCCGCAGGGATGTTCTCCATGCCCATCCCACCGGGTGAAGCCTCATCCACAGGTTCCATCCCAAACTTCGGGGGGGGCAAACACGCGCCGAGGGGCTCTTGCGGGCACAGCCGAGGTGTGCCAGGGCCGGGCTTACCAGGCAGCCCTGCAGGCTGGCCGCATAGCTCTGCTCCCGGGAGTCGGCCAGGAAGCGGATTTCCTTGTCGGGCTGGGGGTGGCCCCGCTCGGGGGCCGGTCTGCAGGAGTAGGACACCTTCTGGGTGGCCAGGCTGCTGTGCAGCCGCAGGAAACGGAGCTGCACCGGGCTGGCCCCCCTGTATTCCAGCTGCAGGGACAACGGGAGAGAAAACCGGGAAGCGGGGGAAGCTTGGAGCGGGCTGTGCTCCTCCCCGTCCCAAACCGGGCAGGATTCAGCTGCTGAGGCACTGCTTTGGAGTTCCTTGCAGGAGGAGGTGTCACATCCCGCTGTGCACAGCCAGGGTGACCTGGGTGCTGCCCAGCACAGCGGGATGGGCATCAGGAGACCCCCGACCCCATGAGAGGGGCTCCGTGTCCCCCGGGCTGTTCCAGCTGGGCACTCACCAGGAAGCCCCCGGGCAGGGTGCTGAACCACTCAAAGGTGTCCTCGGAGGTGTAGGTGCTCAGCCAAGCCTTGATGGGGACCTGTGGGGAGCGGGGACTCTGCCATGCTGTCCCAGCAGGTGACAGTGGCACTGCCAGGACAAGGAGCCAGCACACAACCCTGGCCCTGCAGCCTGGGCATACGTTGTGACCAGAATCCTCCCTCCAAACTTCTCCCCCATGGCAGGGGTCACCATGGCACCACCAGGGACTGGACACACAGTCCCTCTCCAGCCCCACCAACACTCACCCACCCCAAGGGGTCACACGGGGCCGAAGCTGCCCCCCCGAAGCCCCCCCATACCTGGTTGTGGACGGGGGCAATGCAGGTCTCCCCCCCTGCTGTGAAGTTGCAGAAGGCCACCAGAGCATCCTGGGGGCTGCCCTGGTTGGGGTCAATGTAGTACTGCCCTGCAGGGAGGCAAAAGGGAGCTCCTGGCACCCGGGTTTTGGCACAGGGAGGGTGCCACACAATGCCACCCACCCCAGCTGGTGGCACATCCCTGGCGGCCACCTCCATCCAGCCTGGCCACCAGCCCCTTTCTCCAGGGATGCCCAGGAAACCCAACTGGCCTCATCCCCCAAATCCTTGCTCCCTCTTAATTGCAAAGAGCTGCCTGTCCCTGCACGGGCTCTGGAGAGCTGGACAGACCCAGAGCCAATGGTGGGCACCCCACATGCCCCCTGGTACCATCAGGCAGGCTGGGGTGTGCCAGCAGCAGCTCCTTGCAGGTGGTTGCTGGGTTGGTTTTGGTGCCATTGGGATGCTCAACGAGGGCTTGGAGCTCCTGGTTCAGGGTGTCCAGCAGAGCCCAGACTGCAGTGTGGTTCAGGTGGTTGGAGGAATAAATGAGGTGCTAAGAGAGAAAGAGGGGGATATATCCAAGGTGATCTTAGCCCCCCCCCTCTTATTTTGGCCAGGAGCATCCTCAGGGGCTGAGGGAAGGGATGGGACGTGCAGGGGACAAGGACAAGCTTGGTGAGAGAGGGATTAACAATATCCGCTTGGTTCTTGTGCACAGGGGACCTCAGAAGCAGCAGGACATGGGACAGCATCCCTGTCAGCCCCTTCCCTCCCCGGGTGGCACCAACCCAAAGGGGATGGGAAGTCCCTCACCTGCAGCTCCTCCTGGGACAGCACCAGTGAGGGCCCGCTGGGACCAGGGGGGCCGGCGAGAC